GCGAAAGGGAGTTAGACAAGATGACTAACAAAAGGGGAAGTATGGGATGATTGAAATGGGTGTTAGTTCATATAAACGGGCATTCGGGACCAAGTGGTATAAGCATGGTATGAGACGTGCAGGTCTGCTTGTCCAGTTATATGAATTAACGGGAATAGATGAAGAGCATTCATTCATGCATTATTATTAATAATGTGATATTTGGCTGTGTGATTGCATGTCACTTAATTTAGTTATATCAATCTACTATAGTAAGGTCTCATGTCCCTACTGGCTGTGGTTGCTCACCCCTCACCCTATTTAATTTTTCAGATGAATTAGTGGTCAAGAAAAGGACTAAACCAGTTGAGGCTGAATTAGATGAAAGTGATAGAGCTCTATTTATTGTAAAGTTGTAATATTTTGGATCTATTTTTATAAGAGAAGTTTATTTTAAACCCTGTTTCGGCTTCTATTTATTTTATTTTCATTTTCATTTTCTCACGCGTCGGGCACGGGGTTTCCATCCTCCCCCGGGTCCGGGGGTGTGACACTGTATGTGTAGAATGAATTCCACATTAGTATGTTCTAAGTTAAACAACAATTCAATCACAAAGCAATTGGCAATAAGTAATAAACAAGTTCAGATCTTTTTCTGTAACCCGTGAGGACATTTTACCAACTTCGTTATTGTTCTAATCATATACAAATCAAAATTTTCTGCTGCATTCAGTACATTTATATTGATTCTTTCGACTTTTAAACAAATTAACGTCATGCTGTGTAGAATGTTACTCCCGAATTACTGATGACTAATTTGGTTGACATCATTAGAAAGCAATACTTAAAAGATAGTTCAAACTGCAGAACCGAAATTCACTTTTATCTTTGAAAATGGACTTTGAGGATTTGGTATGTGTGTGGCGCGAATCATTTATTAGGTTAGATTATGTCACATGTCCCATCGAGAATGAAAATATTCTCAATGTTGGGGTAATTTTAAAGGTCATAAGTTTAGGAAATAAAAAGTTAGATTCTAAAGCGTTTAGCTATTATTACATAGTTTATGAGTTGAAGTTAATGTGGGGTTTAGTGGGTATAATGGTTATGATTAGACTTAATATCGAGTTAATATTATGGCCTATAAATAGGCTTCGTATCCACTCTATGTTAAGTGTGTACCAAGAGTATCTAGTGTGTGTTGTAGTAGAGTCTTTAAATATCAATCTTATTGAGGTTGGTCTCAAATAAGTTTGTGTAGGAGCTCTGTGTAGCCTTCGGGCTTCACATCTCCAAAATTTTGTTATTTCTTTAGTTCGTTGTATTGTATTTCTCCCTTCACATTCAGAATGTCAGTGCATAAAGCGAAATCCACCAATACTCAACATATCAGAACATGTCTATTACCCCGAATCGCTTGAGCTTGATGCACGGTGGTGGATTGCTTCCCCGAATCCACGCTCTTCAGATCTCCTTTGTCGGTTCTCATGGACCTTCCTTTACTGGCGGGGATGGCAGATCGGGTGGCAGCAGCGGCGGCTGCTTAGTCCTTGGGTGGGATTTTAGGGTTGTGTGTCTTAGGGTTTTTTGTTGTGTTGGGCCTAAAGTATGTGTATTATGGTTGAGCTTTTATTTTGTTTGGTTGGGCTTTTCTTTTGTTTGTTGTATTGGACCTGTTTGTATCTTACTATGTTAATGGAATATCATTTCCTTCGACCCAAAAAAAAAAAAAAAGAACATGTCTATTTCCAGTTCGCAAGTTTATCTCATAAACTTTGATGATCCAACATAAATTGTTTAGCTCAAATTGCTCTCCCAGTAAAAATATTTAGCTCAGTTCGCAGCTCAACACAGTAGGAAGTGTGATTCAATTCAACAGTCTCCTTACCACCTCAAGGACTTTAAATTCTAACCACTTTTCATCTCCGAATGGATAAAAATTACACTGGATAGCAGACTATAAATTTGGCCTTAATCTTCTGCCTAATGCAGGCATGCTATTGCTCAAAAGAAAAGTTCTACAGCAATCATTCTCATTGATTTTTAAAAGCAATCTTACTTGATTAATTTGATCTCCCGAGGTATGAATTCTCAAATGACATACAAGAAAAACAGAGTATATTTGAATCAAAATAGGGCATGCTTGCTTTGGTAACTCATTTGGTTAATAAAGTTAGGGAAAAAACTTGCAAATACTATAAGAATATATGATGATATTCCTTTTATTTATTAGAGAATGAGAAAAAATACAACAGTCACACTTTGATATAACAAAGGCCTCCAAGTGCAAGCCCTTGGCCACACACAACAAGGAAAGAAAAGAAAAAGGAAAACAAACATCACTGAATGATGACTCTGGAAGCAAAGACTCTCTTCAACATGCTACATTTAGTTGTAGGCATCTGGGTTGGCCACAAGGTAGTTCTCAATAAGCTTGAACAAACCAGTTGCCTTCTCTTTGCCAGCCTTAACATCTTCTTCCTTGATCTCAACATCACCTGTGGTGTGGTAGTTGCTGGTGCTCTTTATGATGGAACCTCCTTCAGCAGATGCCACCAACTTAATCTCATAACTAATTTTCTCAACCTTGTCTGAAAGAGCATCTCCTTCAACCAAACTGTAGCTGTACACAAAGTTATCTTTGTCAAGCCCGTCGATCCGGTGCTTCACATAGCTGTAATGACTTCCTGTAAAATGAGGATTATAATTAGAAATTAAGAGATTAATGCTTTCAAGATTTATGTTATTAATTAGGCAAACAAGTTAAACTTAGAAGAGGCAATGGCAGAAACCAACCTTCACCAAAGCTAATCTTCTTGATGGTTCCAACACCTCCATCTCCTTCAACAATTTCAGCACTTTTAACTGCGTGTGGAGCAATCTTGGGGATGAGGGTGTCAGCTTCAAGAACAAGGGCTTTGAACAATCTTGGTGGGGGGATGACTGAGGTGGACTCGTCTGCGTATGTGAAGACACCCATGATGAAGATGATGATTTGAGAGCTTAGAAAATATGATCAAAGAAAGAATGAATGCAGAGGAAGCTAAGAGAATGATTGATATTGGTGTGAGGAAGTGTGAGCACCAGAGGTGGTATTTATAGGTTAATGGGGAAAGGCCAGATTTGTAAAATGGCTTTCATTAATAAAGGAACTTAGACAAGGAAAATATGAAAAGGAAAATATGATTTTCAATGAAATACAGCAATATTTTAGTCGAGGAAATAAAGCTTCCAGTAGATGTTGATTTGAAAAATTCAACTATTCCAACAGGATGAGGGTGTGCTAAGAACTTAATAATATAATAACTGACCAAGAAAATAATATGTGAATGCACATGGATGTTCTAAAATTAACTTGTCTGTCTAACAGGCAGAGTCTATTCTGAATGCACATGGACTGTTCTGATGATCAAATTCAAAGAAGGATTAGTTACATCCTTTATCTCTTTTTGTTGACTAATCACATAGATATCTGCTTCAACGCTGCCTTGTGTATCATCATTAATTACATATTTTACCTCACTTAAGGATCCAACTGCAGAGATTATACAATAGTGTATTGTGATTGGCTCCCTATCCCTTTCCTAGACGTATCATGTCGTCTAATTTAGACTTTCCATGGCTTCTCTTTTCAAGTAATTTCTTTTACCAACCTTACCGCTCTAATCAAGTTGAAGTCAAGTCTATACTTTATATTTCTTTTTGGTAAGTCATTGTCAAAATTGTGAAGTAAAGACCACAATGTAGACGTGGTTAAGCCGGTTGGTTCTGCCCTTTTCACTCGAGATGATCCCTCTTTTCATAAATTACAGTAGTTTAAAATAATAATATTAAAAATAGTTGAGACCTTAGTTTGTTATATTTCGAAATTCTCTACCCTTTCGTTTGGTATTATATTGCTTTATTAATTTAGATTGATCAAATACAATACTACAATTTGTCATAACCCCAAATGCAAGCCAAAGACTGCTCTGGCCTGACAGAAGAAAAAAAAAAAGCCAACCCTTAGCCAACGACAGAGAAAGCAGGACACCAGACTATTGCTTGTAACATGCAGTATCTCATAGATTATTTTAGTTGT